TGAGAGAAGGGTACACTTACTGGGGGTTCTTCTGGGGGGTTAGTTGGCAAGAAGAGCTAAGCCCTCACATTCCTCGGGGGGAGGGGGGTGGGGTGAGAAGATGTGGAGATTTAAAATCCCACCCACTGCCTTGGAGTCAGTTTGGACTGGGAGTGAGCCTGTATGTAGATGAGAGAGGGCTGCGAATTCTGTTATGTCTCCCTTCCCCTCCCCCTCTCCAGCCCCACCAAGAGGTGAGCGTCTGTGTCTGCCCCCACTCTGAGTCTGGGCGGGCTCTGCGGCTACTAACCACTTAGGAGGAGGCAAATGGGTGCCCATTTTCAGGCCCAGGCCTTAGACCCGTTGGCATCCAGCACCAGAGAGGCCGCGTGGACAGGAGCCAAGACAGGCAACAGCCGTGTGAGGGGCCCTGCCTCCGAACCCCCAGCTGGTGCAGAGGGTGGGCCCGAGTTCCCCACCAAGCCTGCCCACCCTGCAGATTGATGACAAAAACAAATACTGACTAGCATGGTTTGGGGATCCCAAACAGTGCAGTCGCGGTACCTCCGTGCTGCCTACAATGAAGAAGCTGCATGTGATTTGGAAGCGGAGGCGGTTAGTTGCCATGAGGCAGCCCTGACTCGTGGCCCTGCACTGTCACAGTCCGGGCTCTGTTGGGCCGCTGTGGCACTTCACCACGTTGAGGGTCTGCCTCCTCCTCGCTGCCCCCTGCAACAGCGTCGATGATGGCCCCTCATCAGTCAGCGGTGGCTGTGAATGACACTGAAAACCCAGAGCCCCGGGCAGAGTAGCCTCCATGGAATTCCCACTGCCTGCTCACCAAGCGTGTTGATGGTCTTGTCCTCGGCCAGGGCACTGGAAAGTGGATCGCCTCCAGCCTGCCCAAGGAGGGGCAGTCTCTGGGGGCTTGGAGATCACTGTCCTGAGGTCGCACGGTCACGAGGCCTGCCCTGGCAGTTGTGCCCTGACTGCCTCAGTCAGCAAGCCCCGAACCAATCCTAGAAGCCCTTCTAACGATGCACATGCCCTCGTCACTCACGGTCCTTGCCCGACTCTGTGATCCCTGCTGTAACTGTGATGTGTTGCTCTCCCCCCACCACGCTACCTTGTGTCTCCTTTGTCCCAGGCCGTTTGTGACCAGCATCTGACGGTGAGTCCTCGGACCCCACTGTGACCTTGTGCTAACAACGGCCTCCCTCATCGGTAGGATGTGCCTGTACCTGTGTCGTCTTTGTCCCTTTGAAGACTCAATAAATGTTCTCAGATTACATTTGATGTCGAGGGTCTCTCTCTGCCCTAAAACACCCCTTACCAAGCATGATGTCTTTCTCCAGGGACTGGTCCCTCCTGATGGGTAACCAGAGGAAGTGAGGGAAAGTCTTGCCATCCAAGCTCCTAAAGAGCAGTTGGAAACATTGGCAAATAAAACTTTTAAAAGCCTCTGCGATCAGAGACGGGAGAGGAGGCAGGACGGCGGTCTGGTGTTGGCTTGGTTTGCTCTCAGAAACCTTACCGCTCTCTGAGTGCCTGAATCAGACTCAGTATTACCTCTGCACAAATAAAAACTGAACACCCTGCTTCCCTCTGCCGGCAGTGGTCCTGCAGTTGGTTTAAGTGCCTTCTTGAACACTCGGCAAAAGGGGATCAAACAGCCCATTAGTCTGGTAACTAACATGAAATTCCCTCGACAGTCACCCCATTGCCCTAATCTGTTAAAATGCTGCACAAAGTCAGCTGCTTAAGGACTCAGGTCAAGGTCTGGACGGTGACCGTCCTGGTGCCCTCAGTGGATGCCCCAGAGACCTTGACTTTTCTGAACCAAGGCTGGGG